CCGCGCAGACAACGACAGCCGCTCGTTTCGACGGGCGCCGGCCGCGCCTCGCTACGAGGGCATTGTCATGACACTCAAGGAAGACGGCGGTTTTGGCTTCCTCCACTCGCTCGACCTCGACCAAGACGTCTTCTTCCACGAGAGCGAGGTGCCATCGCGCCCTGCGACTGACGACGACGCCGCGTCCCTTCCGCATGTGCAGGTACCATCGATCGCTTGCATCTGATGTCCTCTTCGACCACTCATTTTGTATCTAGGTGGGCGACGAGCTCTCATTTGAGCTGACCATCAACCGCCGCAACGGCAAGGAGAGCGCGACGCACATGACGCGCTTGCCCAAGGGCACGATCGTGACCGAAGACATTGGCGACGTTCTTGAGACTGGCGTCGTGACCAAAGGTACCTTGCCGCCCAAGCATGCCAAGGGCCGGCTCGGCGACCGCCCGACGCCCGAGGTCATGGGCACGATCGAGCTCACGCCGGTGGCGACGGAGACGACGCCGCTCAAGCGTCACTACGTCCGCTTCAACCTCGATTCGGTTGCGGCCGACGACGGCAAGAAGGTGATTCCGCGAGTCGGCGACGATGTGGCCTTTCGCGTCGCGGTGCACAAGCAGCTCGGCACCAAGCGCGCGGTGGACCTCCACGTCACGTGCTCGGCGAGCAAGAAACGGGCGGCCGCCATCGACGCAGCGCTCGTCGACCTCGAGCGTGAGACGGGCATCGTGTCGTCGATCAAGGGCTCGTCGGGCTACATCAAGTGTCTCTCGCGACTCCAAGATGCGTTCTTTGTGTACGACCACAAGAGCATGGGCGCCACTATCAAGGAGAAGACGGAAGTATCGTTCTTCATTCTCCCCGAGCATCTCGAGGCCGAGGACCGCGGCAACGCCAAATTGACGGCCCTCAAGCTCGAGGCGCTGCCGGAAGGCTCGGTGCTCTTTGAGGAAATCATCGCGTCCAGCGTGCACGGCAAGATCCTTCTCAAGCCCTCCGAGCCCTCCCGGCAGTTTGCCAAGGCCAAGCCATCGACACGGGGCAAGATCGGGGTCACAGACGCCGAGACGCCGGCCGAGTACTTTGTGGAATCGTCGGAATTCGATGCCAACTACACGCCGAAAGAAGGCGACGAGGTGCTCTTCGACATTCTGCACGACCTGCGCCGCGACGAGAAGATCGCGATCAACGTCCGCAGCGTGCTTTTGAATCCGATCGGGCGGGAACATGGCGTCGTGACGGCCATGAAGGACGAGTTTGGGTTTCTCAAGTACGCCGTTGGATGTTTTTTGGACATGGAACATATATTGTCCTTTGTAGGTGCGTGGACCGCCCCGGCGACGCGTACTTTCGCTTCTCGGACGTGCTGCAGTCGACGTACCACCTCACGCTGCGCATGCATGCCGAAGTGTCCTTTGACGTGGTTGAACCCACGAAAGCGAAGGAAGGCATCCGCGCCACGCGCATCCAGCTGCTCCCGAAAAACACCATCCAGTGGGAGACACCACTGGACGACGACATTACCAACGCGGTCATTCTGTCATTGCCCGGCCGCCCGGCGTTCAAGGACCACAGCGGGGGCGACAAACACGCGGGGGATGCCAAGTACGGCAAGCTCTCGTATTCGTCCACGAGCTGCCCCTTGGCCGCGTACCCGGACCTCAAGGCCGCGGTCCTCGCCGGCCTCGACCAATCGGTGAGTGACGTCGACCAAAGCGTGACGCTCAAGCAGCTCCACGCGTCGCAGCGCCTCGCGCTCGCAGCGTTCGCCGCCTACTTTAAGCTCGGATTCGCCGAAGAGCGCAACACGGCGACGCTGACCCAAGCCAGTGACGCGCCGCGCATCAGTGACTGGTCGGTCACGACGCCGTGCGAGCGCACCGTCGTGTTTGCCAACGATGCCCACAAGGACGTGCGGTACGAACCGAGCGTCGGCGACAGCGTCCGCTGCAACGTGGTGGCGACCAAGAAGGGCGGGCACCTCGTGCTCGCAAAGGACCTTGTCCTGCTGCACTCGGACGCACCCATCGCGCAGGGCTGGGTCACGGCCATCAAGGCGGACGGACAGTACGGCTTTATTGAACCGACGACGTCGTCGGACTCGGTGTTCTTTCATTTCCGGGATGTCGGCGAGAAGGCCAAGATCAAGGTCGGCGACGAAGTCGAGTATGTGCTCAAGCCGGCGGCCGAGAAGAAGACGAAAGCCACGCAGATCCGCGTGCTGGCCGCCGGCTCGCTCCCGCCCAAGCAAGTGGTGTCGTACGACGCGATTGTCGAGCGCGTGAGCTTGCGGCCCAAGGCGCGGGACGTGAAAAATCGACCGCCGGCAAGCTGCGCGTCGTGCCCGAGACGGACACGGACTCGGACGAGACGCCCGTGCTCTCGTTTCACTTGGAAGACCAGGTCGACAAGCACGTCGTGCTTCGCGCAGGGGACCGCGTGCGCTGCGTCGTCAAGGGCTCGGGCAAGGCCGCGACCGAGATTGCGCTGTTGACGTCCAACGCCAAGACGGGCGTCGTGTCGGCGGTCGACGAGACGGGCGCCGGCACGATTGACGTCGACGGCGATGAGACGTCGGCCGCCTTTGTGAGCAAGCAGGTGCTGGGCAGCAGCGGCCGCTTCCTCAGCGTCGGGGACAAGTTCGAGTTTTCCATCAACCACATTGGGGACGCGCTGCACGCGACCAGCATCGTACGCCTCGAGGTATTATATTGTCGATCGAACGATGCCGCACGCCTCATGATGATGGAATATAGAGCGCCGATCGCAAGGTGACGGTCAACTCGAGCTTGCGCCGGCAGCTCAAGGAGGCGACGGCCCGGACTGCCAAGGGCCCGGACGGTACCAAAGGCTTTGCGTCCGGGTGGCGGTCGCAGGTCGAGGAAGACCAAGTGTACACCTAGTCGTCGTCGTCGTCGCCATCGCACATGTCTCAGGAATAATGTTAAAATAGCTTTTCTGCCACTTTCAATGCAGCTGCCGGCGCTCTTGCACGTGGTCGCCGACGCCGACTGGCCGCGGCTTCTCGCCGCGCTCACCGAGCTGCCACAGCCGTCGCCGCTGAGCTGCGACGGCAGCGGCTTGTCCGTGCTCCACTGGGCCTGTCTGCACCGCGACGTCCCTGCGTACATCATGGTCGCGATCCTCAACGTCTTCCCGGATGCTGCGGCCACCGCCGCGCCGGGCGGCGACACGCCCTTCGCGCTCGCAACCCGGCGCATGTGCCGGCAACAAGTCTTGAACGTGCTCTTTGCCGCGTGCCCGGATGCGGACTGCGGCACCAAGGCGGCGGTCCATCGGTGTCGGCCGCTGCCGCCGCGGTGGCAAGAAGACGTCAAGTGCGGTCTCTGCTTGGCTGCGTTTACGCCGGCGCGCCGGCGGCACCACTGCCGCAACTGTGGGCTCAGCGTTTGTGCCGCCCATAGCCAGCAAAAGGCGTCGCTGGCGATGATTCCAGCGGCGTCACCACAGCGTCTCTGCGACGTGTGTGCGTCGACGCTCGCGCAGTTTGCCGATCTCGCCGACAATCAAGGGGCCGAGTAAACGAGAGTACATACACTTTTGAACTCCGATGGACGTGGGTTCGTGGTGGCTTCCGTAAACACATAGCAGCGAGGGGATCTCCCGGAAGCCGGCAGTTGTATTGCCACAAAGGCAGATCGACAGGTATGGACAAGTGCGACCATGGAGGCGTGCGATGGAAAGACAAGCGGTGTCGGATGAGACCGTCGCCAAGAGGCTCCAACTGGAGTCACTACCGTATAGGGTCGCTACCGGAGATCATCCGTACATGGCACCTCGTCCTCATTCTCTACACCACGGACGCACTGACGACAGAGACTCTAGGATAGTTCTCGCTTCCTGGAGTCATAACTCTCCAGCGATACACGCTTGCATCGGGGTCTGGCATGGCTTGACCACACCGGACACAACAGGTAGGGTACCGGCACTGGTCCACCGATGCATTCCCTCATGAAGGCTGCGTCGATTTTCTGTCTAGTCAATCGGATAGTATCAATGAGTCTCCTTCCCACGCGCAGACGATATAGTGGCTATCCAACAGCTGCATGGACATGTTGTGTCGAACGTCTTACGCGCTCGGTAGTAGTATACAGAGGAGGATGCTCCCCGCTGTTTACTAGTACGGTACATGGTCAATATTGTTCTAAGACAATATTGAACTCGAAGGTACCGACGAAAAAATTAAAAATAATTAAGACTACCGTACACGCGACAGGGCTCACGACGTTGCCAACGACGCCGATGCTTCGCCAAAGAGGTCATAGTTATCTTCGGCTTCCATATGCGACGAGGCAAAGGTGGCGAGGAAGACGCGCGCGGCCTCCATGCGTGCAAGGACGCGGTCCTGGATGCTATCGAGTTCGACGAGGTGCTTTTGGCTCGGCGGCGGCGGCGGCTGCCGAGACGCAAACGTCGTCGACTTGAGGTGGGCCTTGAGCATGCCGAGGTCCATGAGCCCGGCTTTGGTCGAGAACGTCTTGATGTCGACGCCGATCGTTTGGCGCAGGAACGTTGCGAGGATGCCGTGGAGCTCTTGGATGTACCCGACGCTTTCGGCGGGGATGGCCGCCGAACTGCTGCCGTTGCTCTTGTGGAGTACGATCTCCTTGGAGGAGGACGACGACGGTGGCGGCATTGGCGCGTTGGCAAACTGGTTGAGCTGCTGCTCGAGTTGAAAATGATGCGCGCCTGCTCGGCCATCTTGGCGTCGTGGTCGCTGCGCTCGGTCTGCAGACATTTGCTCAAGGACGTGACCTTTGCGTTGGCGATCTTGAGCTGCCACGCCATTGCTTCGTGGCTTCACGGCTCGCGTCCATTTGGTCCAACCGCTCCATGTCCAGATCCGTCTGGCACGACATCTCGTGCGTTGGCGGCGATTGCGTCGCGACTGCGAGCGCGCGCTCGAGGTCCTGGATGCGGTGGTGCTGCACCGTCATGTCGTGACGGTTCGACGACACCTTGGCCGTCACCTTGCGCAAGAGCTGCGTCAGAAACGCATTTTGCTTGGCGAGCCGCGCGATGGTCTCGAGGTCGGCCGACGCCATCGGATCGAGGCGGTTGTTGTCCAAAGCGGACAAATCGTCCATGGCATGGACACGCGTCGCAGCCGTCGAGTCGAACGATGCCGCCGACGACGACTCGGACGTCGTACTCACTACAAGAAAGATGTCAAGTTCCGATCCCTTTGTTTGTGCTCGCGACACGTACTGGCGGGCGACAGCGGCGAGTCATCGTCCATACAAATGCCCTTGCCACCGTCGTCGGTCTTGAGCTTGCGCGCCCAGAAAGCCGACGGCAGCTTGGAGAAGAGACCCGACGGCGTCCCAGGCTACGTTCCATGAGCAGCCTGCTCGATGCCAAAGGGCGTAGTACCTCGGTCAGGGTCGTCGCTAGCTCTTCGCGGCGCTGCATAGTCTCAGCCAGACGAGAAATGAAGAGCGTGAGCAGCTAATGGTACGAGACACAACCGCCAGCTGTCCGCCGTCGTCCCAGCACCAAGATGGTCATCAACCGCAACCGACCTTCAAGTCCCAATGGACCAATCAAACCGCGTAAAAATGAAACGCCGTGATGATTGGTACACATCCACCAATCCGATGACAGGGAATGGTAGAGATTAGGGCAGAGGCTACTCAAAATTTACCGGCCGATCCAGCATGGCGGAGCTCCAAGAGCGCGTCGAGGAGCGCGCGCCGACAGTCCTCTGGCGACGTCTCGAGCGCGAGTTCGAGTCCACTTAGCACCTGGCGCTGGATGCTATCGCCTTGCAGCAGTGCAATCTCCGTCGCGTCCAAGGCGTTGCAGCCGACAGCGTGCAGATCCGAGACCGAGACGCCGTCAACAGGGTCCATTTTCCTCAACCGAAAGGCGAACGCGCTGTGCACGGCGTCGTAGACACTGGCGCGAAGTCCATTCAACTGCGCGAGATGCGCCTCCCGTTTGGCGGCGTCTAGAAACAGTCGGACGTCGCACACCCCCCATCAAATCGAATCGAGTTGTACCGATCGAGTGGCTCTGCAGCTGCGCGCGCAGCTGGTTGATTTGCGTCGCACACGTCGCAAGCATCTCTCTCTGCGCCGCGTCTTTGGCCTTCAAGCCGTCCACGACGCTCTGCTTCTGCTGCAGACGTCGCCTGCACTCGCGAAGCTGGGACTGGATGGCGCTTGTCGCGTCGTCGCCGCTCTTGTCTTTCTTGTCGCCCTCTGGGGACTGTTGTGGTGACGCCTTGTCCCGTAACACCATCTGGAGGCGCGCGCACCGACTTGAAAGCACGTGGTTGTGGGCTTGCGCCTTTTGGAGTGCGTCGTTGGTGGCGGCGGCGTCCTTTAGGCGCGCCGCAAGCTGCTCTTGAAGCTACAAGCGAGGTGTCACGATGCCGTGGTCGATCTAGCAGACACGTACGTGCTTGATGAGTGCGGTTTTGGCGGCAGTGGGGGCAGGGTTCGAGGCCGGGAGAGGACGGGTCGGCGCGTCGTGTAGACTCTTCGCCTTTTCGGCCGCGCCTTTGTAATAGGCCACGAGCTCCGACTTGCGCTGCGCGCTGTCGCGGAGCTTGGCGTTCTCCTCCCGCAGCCGCAAGACCATGTGATTGAGCTCTGTCTTTTCTCGCGCGAGCGCCACGTGCTTGGCCTGGGCCGTCTCGGCCGCCGCTTTCCACGTCTCGACCTCGGCTTTGGCCGTCGCCGCCTTCTTGCGCAAGGCGCTGTTAGCGATTTTGCTCGCGTCGAGCGCACTGCTGGTGGCCGCCTGCTGATGGAGCTGATCCTACCTCCATGTCGTAGAATGAAAGCTGAGCCTGGAGATGTACTAGTAATACCTGCAGCGCCTGTAGGGCCAGCTCTTTACTAAGCAGCGCTTGACGCCATGTGGCTGCTTGGAGCTGCCACGAGCAAACATGCGCCTTATCAGGTGCGAGCACTTTTGTCGGAGGGTCTAGTCACGCAAACCCATCTCAAAAGTACTCGGATGGCGGTAGTAGAGTACACTGCGGCGACGGCGGCGACGGCTGCGCAAGCAGCTGGGACACCAAGGCGGTCCAGTCAACCGAGGAGTCGTGCGATGAAAGAGCCTGGGCGAGCGCGGCCGAGAGGCTTCGGACGCGCGCCTCGAGCTCGGCTTGGACGAGCTCGTACGCGTCGCTCAGCGCACTCCACTCGGCCGCTTGTGCTGCAGATGCCTCTGCGTCTGCCCGCAGGTCCCGCGCCGCCGCCATTTCAAGCGCCACGTCGGCTTGCAGCGCTGCAATCGTGTCGTTGGCGGCCGCCAGCGCGGTCTGCAGCGTGTACTTGGCGGTCCGGTCGCTCGTCGCCACGTCGATCCACGGGCGCAGCTGCATCTGGTTGAACGCATCGAGGCTGCTCAGCGCCGTGCCGGTCTCGGCCTCGGCTGCCTGTACGAGCTGCGTCGCTTGGTGGATGATCTCAAGCTTGGCGCGTTCGGCGGCCTCGCACTGCGCACGCGACGCGACGAGCCGCGCTTCCACGTCCGCCAGCGTCATGCGTAGCGCATTCTCGGTCTGTTGGTGGAGCAGCGCGGCCTGCATCCTGCTCGTCAGTTGTCGATCGCGTCGCATAGAGGATGTACCGTGATGGCATCGGCGCGGACGGTCTGCAGCTCCTCCGTGCTCGACTGCAGCTCTGTGGTGTGGCGCGCGACGGTCTCTCGAAGTTGGTCGAGCGCAGCCTCGGCCACTTTGCATGACGTGGCGCCGTCGCAGCGCAACGATGCTACCGCCGATGGATCCTCTGGTGCGTCATAGGAACACGCCTCGCACGCGGGACGTGCAGCGAGTTGCGAAAGAAGCGCAGCGGCGCGGAGACCCCGCAGCTCGTCGGTAGCATGCTGCAGCTGCGAGGCGCAGTCGCAGCACGGAGCGTCTGGCTCAAGAAAGCGATCGCGTTGGTGGCTGGCTGTTTGCTCGCCGACCTACGCACCACGAGCGAGTCTGTGGATCATCGTAGAAGCACAAGGCGGTGTTCATACCTCACGGCAAGACGGCCGCGAGAGGCGCTGGATGAGCTCGCAGTTGGCTTGAAACATGCTGTGGAGGCGCTGGTGCAAGAGCGAGTCCGCGGCCTCGCCTCGCTGCAGGCGCTGCTCGAGTGCCATGGCCTGTCGCGTATCTGGTGTGATCTGGCGCGGCTGCAGCGCCAGGTCGGTCTTTGTGCGTAAGTCCTCGAGCTGCGCCTCAAACGCGAGCAGCTGCGTGTTGAAGGCCGCGCTGTAGTCCAAGCCGCCCTGCGCGAGCTCGAGGTCCCAGCGCATGGCGTCCACCTTCTCTTCAAGACGCACCTTGGCGTCGGTGAGCGCGTGGATCTCACGGTCCTTCTTCTGCAGAAGCTCCAAGACCACGCGGCTCTCGTCGTCGTCCATCGCCAAGATATGCGATCCAAGATACGCAGGCTAAAACCACGCCATTTTCAGCTAAAGCAGGATCGAGATGGTCGATTTCAGAGATAAAATGTGCGTGGGTATAGACTGAGAAACTTCAAGCACAATATTTTCGGACGCCACTTGGAACTGCTCTGACAGAGCCGTGGCTAAAAGAACCCAGCAATTCCATTTTGCACTTCAAAGACCGTCGGTCTTGCCTATTTGTCACCTCGTGTGAACTCTATGGATCAAGCTGCGATGCGTAGAAAACAAGAAACGATAGAGACGAAAAGATAAGTTGGTTGTACTGTTAGTTAGCGACAATACATCAACGGGACGAAGCCACGCTCGCCTCGGTCGCGAGGCGGCGAGTATGTCTCCTGGTTTCATTGCCGTAGACAAGCCGTTAAGCTTGATGTTGACCACCGGCAGAGATTTCGCCCTGGTCGCATGCGCCTTGCTTGTGTCAAAGTCGATGCACGCGGCCGCCAAAAAACTTTGCTCGAGAGCGCTGGCGCTCGTCACGGAGAAAGCGTCCGTGATGTTCCGGACAATCCGACTTGCAGGCTTCTCGTGGGCCACGAGAAGAGCTTGCTGGAGCGCCTGGAGCTCGGCAGCCTTCTTCGTCGCGAGGGCTTGCTCGGCCACCTGGTGCGCCTAAAGCGCGTCGACCTTCTCCGCCGTCTCCTTCGTGAGAGCGTCCTACCGACCAAGAATATTCGCTCAACAACGCATTGCTACGATGGCCAAAAATTCTCTGCCGGCGCAGTTGACGGTGTTCAAGATGTGAGGCTTGTCGCCAACCCATTGTCGTTGCGTCCACTGACCAAAACCTCGTCCATGAAGAAGAGGAAAAGCTTCAAGTACGAGGACGGTGGCAGGTCCGTTTCTTTAACCCGGTCGATTTGGCGCTGTATGTCGACTACAAGATCACTCGAATGCACCTCTTTGGCGTCCAGCAAAAGCTCAGCACGGGCTCGTACACGTCGCTCACAGCCTTTGCCTACGACATGCGCCTCATCTTCTCCAACTGCCTCGTGTACAATGCGGATGTGATCTTGAGCGGCCCGATCCGCGACCACGCCGTGAAGCTCCTCCAGGCTTTCGAGTCGCTCATGCTGCAGTCGTTTGGCCAGTCACGGAATACGTGGCCGGGGCTCGCCGACGTTGACCGGTGGAAGTGCCACCAGATCCTCCACGACCTCCTCGCACCAAGCAAGGCTTCGAGTCGGCGCAGTGGTGGATCGATGCACATCAGTGGACTCGATATAAATTTTGAAAGGACGTGGCCGCGCCACCTGTCATACTTGATACTCGCCATCTTCGCTTCGTGTCGGCAAACCACGCGCCGGCAACGATGATGGAAGCCCTGCCCATGCATGTGACCCACGCCCGCGAGTCGACGTCGACGCCCGCTACGAAGCGCGGCGCGGCCTTCCCGACGCGGCCGGCCCGCGGCGCCAGCGGTACGTTGCCGCTCTTCCGCAACTGCTCGTCGGCTGTGCCCGAGTACTTTGCCCGCATGGTCGACTACCGCCAAATGGACCTCGAGGCCACGTACTACCAGATGGTGACGCTGTGCATTGCGCCCTCCAAGGTCTACAAGAGCGCGTACTACCGCAAGCAGACCAAGAACCGCTGGGCGCGCGACGACCCGGCGTTCGCCGTCATCCAGGTCCGTGCTTCGCCTTCGTTGTCTCTTGCTTGACACAGCGCGCGCGTAGGTGCTGTTTCTGTTTGTGGCGTCGCTGGCGTGGACCGTGGCGTTTGAGAAGACGTCGTCGCTCGGTTTCCTCCTCATCTGCGATGTCATTGTCGAGTGGCTCGTCCTCGGCGTCCTCCTCTCGACGGCCAGCTGGTGGTGCGCCAACACCTTCTTGCGCCTCTCGCCACCGGGCATCGCAAGCGACACGTTCTTTGTCGAGCAGTCGGTCGAGTGGCAGTACGCGTTCGACATCCACTGCAACGGGTTCTTCGTGCTCTTCCTCCTTATCCACGTCGTGCAGGTGAGACGACGCACTTCGAGCCCAGGAGGCCAACATGTTTCTAGTTTCTGCTCGTGCCGCTTCTCGTGGCAGATACCTTTGTGTCGCTCTTCATCGCCAACACGCTGTACGCACTGGCGTGTGGCAGCTACTTTTACATTACGTTCCTCGGCTACATGGGTACGACAACTCGTGCACTGAGGTCGAGGCGAACGTTGCGTGTGCTTAGCGCTCCCGTTCCTCCACAACACGGAGCGATTCCTGTACCTGGTCGTCGCCGTCGGCGGCTTGTACCTCTCCAGTCTCGTGCTCTCGATCGTCCTTGGCGTCAACTTCAACTGCGCCGCCATGTCCGCGGCCTACTATTATTCTGCCTAAGACCCCAAGACGACAATCAAAGCGTGTACATACAGGGTGCTGATAGTATTGTGATGCGGTGGTAGCGACGAGCGATGTGGTTGATGGAGAAGCGGCCAAGTGCGCCCACTCGACGTGTGCTCAGGGTGGTGGCGTGGCCGCAGAAGGATAGGGCTCTTGTATCAATGCCGGGCATCGTTGTATCTCGCTCAACGGCCCGGTCTACGCCGATGAAAACAGCCGGCTCAAGGGCTGCCGCGCTGCCGAGTCGACCATGATGGCGCCGTACGTCGAGTTGCCGTCTTGTCATGACTGAGAGTAGATCAGTCAAGTACCTATTTATGATCCATTTCTTCATTTATTTTCTCGCTGTCTCTGCTCGATCCTATTCAAGACGCCCGCATACGTCCCAGAGGCACGCCATCTTCGTCCGACTTGAACCTCTTCTTGGCCCGCGAGCGTCGATTTGTGCCACCTGCGTTTCACCTAACCCTCGACCAACAACCAAGAGTGCAGAGTATGTACTACATCTTCATATTACTACTTGGTGGTTGCTTCTTCGTATCAAAGAGCATCGTCGGTTGGCTACACGGACGCGAGGCTTTGGCTTTACGCAGCGCTAAAACAAGGCGCGACCGCTAGCAGGCGGCGCTTGACCTTCCAGAACGCCTTGGCACACTCGGGCGCCTTGCGCTTCGGCTTGGCAAACTTGAGGTGTTCGTGGCGCAGCGCCTCCTGCTTGGCGCGGGCTTCGTCGAGGAGGTCTTGGGCCTTTTGCCGAAGCCGGCTGCGGTGCTCGGCCTCGCGCAGTGCCTCTTCGGTCGCGAGCGTCGCGGTGCGCCGACGCTTCTCGGACCGCGCGGCCTCTTCGTCTTTCTTGGCCTTCTTGCGCTTCTTCTCTTCAATCTTGCGCTCGCTCTTGGTCATCTTCTCCATACTCAAAAGCGACGCACGGGCTTCTTTGGCCGCTTTGGCCGCGACGCTGGCCTGCAGCGATCGTTCGTGCTCGGACCGCTCTTCCTGCGCGGCTTCGTCGATCTTCTGCTGCTCGAGCTTGGCCTGGTACGTGCGGAGACGGTCCGCTTCCGCCGCGGCCTCGGCGGCTTCGTTGGCCGCGCGGTTCTGCGCCGCGAGGAGCTGCGCTTCCTTGTGCAGCAGCACACTGCGCTTCGACCGCTCGATGATGTCGATCGTCACGTCGCCCCACTGGTCCATCGCGACGTGCAGCATCTTCTCGCCGGCCGAGTAGACGGTCGGTCCTTCCTTGCCCTTCTCGGCAATGTTGTAGAGCAGGGCGTTTTCAAACGTGAGGCGAATGTCGGCAATGAACTCGCCGTACGTCTTGTACGTGAGCGACGACAGCTTCTCCGAGACCGTCTTGAGGTCCATGGGCTTGGTGATGATCTCAAAGTACTTTGGCGGGAGACCCGGGAAGAGCTTCTCGACCGGCTCGACAAACGGCCACGCGTACTTTTGGTACTTTTGGCTCAGAAGAACGCGGAGCACTTTGGAGCACTCCTTGTTGGGCTTGCTCTCGGTGAAGCGCAGTGTCTGGACGCCCAGGAACCGCTCGTTGCGGCGTTCGAGGCGCACGTCCGCGTCCAGCAGCTTGTGTTCAATGCACATCGAGTCGAAGAACCAGCGCAAGTGCGCCGCCATCTCGCGCACGCGGATCGACGACGAGTCACTCCCGACGTTGAACGCCTCGGCGTTCGCAAAGACGAGGTGCCCGAGCCGGACAAACTCGGCCGCCGACGGCAACTGGTGCGCGAGGAGCCGCTGCCGCATCGTGCCCAAGTCCATGGGCTCGGCGACCACGCGCTCGTAGGACGCTGCGAGGTCCGGGAAGATGCTCAGCAGCGGCACGTCAAAGTGCATCAAATGGACACTCTCAATCTTGCTCAATCGGGACAAGATGCGCTCGCACGAGGTTTCCCACGGCGACAAGTCGAGCTTGACCTTGGACTTGGACGACGACGACGACGATTTCGGGGCCGACGACCCGCCTTTTCGAGACGCCTTCTCGGGCGCGACGACCGGGACCGGGGCGGCAACCGGGACCGCGACGACCGGCGGCGCGCTGCTACTGCTCGTGGCCTCGGACCGCGGCTTGTCTTTCTTGTCCTTTTTCTTGTCTTTTTTGTCCTTTTTCTTCTTCTTGTCTTTCTTGTCCTTCTTCTTCTTCTTCTCGGCACAGTCACTGTGGCTCTCGAGTGTTGTTGTCACAGGTGCCACGTCGTCGGTCACTGGCTTGGTACTGCGCGGCTTGGCATTGGTCGTCGTCGTCGTCGTCGCCGTCGGTGGTGGTGGCGGTGGAAAACTCGACGAGACCGTGGCGGCAACCAGCGGCTCGCCACGCTCCTGTCAGCATACTACGTGTGAGACGGATGGACGGCGTGGAGGTATGGGTACCATGGCGGCGTACAGCGACACAAAGTAGTCGCGCAAACTGTTGGCCATGGTCCGAATGTCGGCGCCTTCGACGGGATCGCTGTTGTACTTCATGCAGTTGGAGAAGATCAAGTGCACGTCGGCTGCAAATTCCGACGCGTGGCTGTACCGGTTGCTCTTGAGCTTGCGCTAACGACCCATTGCTCGTCGATCATCGACGTTAATATAAAGCTGTACCTCGATTTTCGCAAAGTCCATGGGCTCCGACACGATCGCGAGGTAGTCGGGGTACTTGGTGACGTCGACAGCGACAAGGAACGGGCCCGCCGTGAGGATCTCGCCCATGAGCCCGCGCATCGTGTGCTTTCGGATGAGCTGCAAAATGTGGAGGCACGCGTCCTTCTCCTGAAACGCTCGGCGGCCTTTGCTGTGTGTGTCGCCCGACGACGACAATGCGGCCGGCTTCTACATGCGATCCATGAGTGTACAAAGATCCATGCATATATAGATGGAAACTCGTACCGAAGACGATGGTATGGCTGCGGGTGCAGATGCCTCGCGGCTGTGACTGTGGTGGCTGTGGTGCTTGCTGCTCTTGCGGTCTTCGAGGAGCGCGGGCCCAAACGCGACCGTGACCTTGCTCTTGAAGAGGCTCAGGAGCGTCTTGCCGTCGCTGTAGTACTGCTTCCCGTCCGGGTTGTTTTTCCAGTACTTGATGCAGTTCTCAAAGACACGGCGGAGGTCCGAGACAAACGGCGCGAGCTCCTTGTACTCGCCCAAGTGCAGACGCGACTGTCACATGACGTCAGAGGACGGACACGGACACAAAATCGGGCGTACCGAGACGGTGCCAATGTCCATGGGCTTCTTTACAATCTTGAAATACTCGAACGGGATTTGATCTTCCGACTCGAAATAGGTCTAGGGTAGAGAAATCATTCGTTTCGATCGTATGGAGGGAAGAGGGGTGTACGTGGATCGGGTATTTGAACCACTGCGCCGACTCGAGGCCTTGCTTGGTGCGATGCGCGAGGATGTCGTGGAGGATCTGGTGGCACTTCCACCGGTCAACGTCGGCGAGCCCCGGCCATGTATTCCGCGACTGGCCAAACGACTGCAGCATGAGCGACTCGAAAGCCTGGAGGAGCTTCACGGCGTGGTCGCGGATCGGGCCGCTCAAGATCACATCCGCATTGTACACGAGGCAGTTGGAGAAGATGAGGCGCATGTCGTAAGCAAAGGCTGTGAGCGACGTGTACGAGCCCGTGCTGAGCTTTTGCTGGACGCCAAAGAGGTGCATGCGATGGGGCACCTTGATCTTGTAGTCGACGTACAGCGTCAAATCGACCGGATTGAAGAACGGCGTGGCTAGTGACATGCCGCCGTCCTTGTACTTCATGATTTTCTGGACGATGGCCTGGCACTTGGCCACGTCGTCGTCATCGAGGCGCGCAGAGGCCGGCGCTGTCGCATGTGGCGGCGACGGTGCGGCCACAGGTGCCAGAGCTGGTGCTGGCGCGGAAGGCGGCGTCGGCTCGGGCGACGACGACGGTGGTCGCGCAATGTGGGGCGCGAGCCGTTCGTTGAAAAGGCGTTCAAAGTCCTGGCGACGACGGGCCATGATGCACATCGTTCCTTACACTAGAGATCATATCGCACCTGCAGCAGCTTTTGCGTCGTGTGGTACAGGATCGCATCGTACGACGGCGACTGCTGGTCTTTCCAGTAGTTTTGCAGCGCGAGCACGTTGTGGAAGACGACGCGGACGTCTTTCGCGAATTTCTCGCACGTCTTGAAGCGGCAGCGCGACGGCTTTGTCCCGAGGAGCGACTGCACCTTCTCGAGGCCCATGCTCTTCTTGAGCAGCTTCGAACGCAGCTCAGACGGGGCATGCTGGATGTCGGCGAACGCGCCTTCGAGCAGCGCTGTCTTGGCCGCCGCCGAGAGCGTCGCCTTGCGCAGTGCCTCATGCTGGAGGAGCGCCGAGAGCACGTGCATGCACTCGTCGTGCGCGGCCTGGCTGATGCGCTCCTTCTCCTTCGCGGAAGGGGACGTGGCCGTGCTGCTCATCTCCGTCCCTGGACTGATTCCCATCCAGAAAAAGACCAAGTGAGCGGTGCAAGACGCGACAGAAATATACGACGCCGTCCGGGTTTGGTCCGGCTTTGACCTACGAACTTCGTATTATAGCTTCGAACTTCGATTTCGTGGGCTTGGCGCCCTTTTGACGCCGACCGATTCACATCGCGAAGTACCGGGATGTAGTACGCTGCACGCGGTGTCATGCAATCTGAGTGCATAAACGATAAAGGCGATCCTAAAGAGCTCTATGCAGGCTCGATGTGTGTACCACCGATCGCTTCGCACCGAAGGAGAAAATGAAGCTGGTTCCTACTACAGCGCTCGAACTCTCCGGTGTGACCCGTCGTGGCACAAGAAGTGATCTATCTCCCTCGCACGACAGAGTCAACTTGGAGGCGACGCAAATAAAGCGATGAACGAATCGAGCTGCATTTTTGGTCCGTTGTGCTGGCTGGCCACGCCAACAAGCCAGACTTGGACCTTAAAGACGTGCTATTCAAACGGAAACGGCTCGCTTTTGAAGGAGACTGTGGCGGCAAGAAAAAAAAGCAAGGCCTACGAGGAGTGTATTCGTGGCCATGCGGTCACGCGCTCTGCACAATCAAAGTGTTTTGTGCTAGCAAAATGCAGCAGTCTGCCACCAACCTAGACGGCAAGGAGGCCGCGACCGAACCCTTCCCCAACGTTGCTACCTTCGACGCGATGTCCAAGGCGTTGGATAAGCTGGTTCCTGAGCTTCCTTCGCGAGGTACGGCCATGCGCCCCATAACCACAGATATGACCTCCCGCCAGAGACGCTGGACGCGCGTGGTGCACCCAACCCCCTTTTGTGACGGGCGTTCCGCTTTTCGTTTTGAAGGAAAACCGTTTTCGCTTCGACGGCGTCGTCATGTTGGTGCTTCGGCGTAGGTGACACGCATGACCGAGTGCTCTTTCTCGTAGGGCATCGCGCCGTCGCAACATGTTTACGGGGGAAACGCTGGACGAGGTGAGCGAGAAGCACAACCTCAAGCTCGACTACGCAGCGATGCTGCAAGTGCAGGTGCACCCTCATATCAGTACTAGTACTTGAGAGGCAGAATGCGACGGTAGATTCGCGAGCAAAATGAAAAGAAGGAGCAGCTCAAGCTCCAAAAGCAAGAAGAGCAGCGCCGAGAACGCGAAGAAATGGTGCATCCGCTCTTGTATCCGCAACCTATCTCTGAAAAGCACGTCGTTGTTAGGACCGCATGCACAGCGGTAAGCCCAGTGCGAAGAACAGTGCGCCGCCACCGCCCAACGACCCGCCCCGTCGTGCGCCGTCCCCAGAAAAGAGACAGCAAACGCATCAGACCATGTCTGTTAAACATTACACGATGCCTTCTCAAGCCATCGACATAGGAATGCGCCGGTACCTGTGCCAGCGCCAGCTCAACCTGGTATGTTATGGCGCCACACCAAGCCAAATGCTAGACGCATGTTTGCTCGATAGTGATGCTTGCACCGTCCCCACCCCGACCCATGTACCCCGAACAGCCGTCGCCGGTGCGAGACCATGAACACGGTGGTACATGTCGTCGGACGTATGCTGTAGATGCAGGCGAGTCCGGCGTACCGACCGAGCTTTACGCTGCCGTCCGTCTTTGGATCCTCGCTACCAGCAGCGACGTCCATCTTCCCATCGCGCAATACCGCATGTCCTCCGCAGGAGATTGACGCGGTTCAGCGGCTCCGTCATGAGGTATCGTGTCCTGAGTTCAAAACGACTTGAACCATTAATAATGTACTAGCTCGAAGAGGCCCGCAAACAAAAGCTTCAAGTCTCCAAGGTACAATTTGGCAAAATACGACAAGAGGTCTATAGTAGCACAGGAAATGTATCAAAAACCAAATTTCATGCTGCAAATGGATCCACCCAAGGCGCACAACGTGGTACGTTGTCTCTTAAGGTCTCGTATGTGCCGTCCAAGACGGCGTGCTGCTTAGCTGCCTCGACCACGAAGCAGTCATTGCATGAGCAACAGTAACAACAACAACAGTAACAACAGCAATCATGCTCCATCGCTGGACTCGCCACTCGCGAAAGAAGAACGGCGGGTGGTTGGCTTCGGAACACTCACGCCTCGTCCATCGACGCCCTGTCTCGATATGTCGTACGCGCCCTCGCGGTGGACACGGACTGCAATCTTTGGTGTAGGTCCAACCAGCTGGAAAGCAGCAGCTCGTTCGTGTCCGTCGTCGCCGGCGACCGAGCCACGCCCCGCGGCGCCTCTCTTCAGGTACGTCTCCGCCACGCTGCTAGCTCCTCCAAGTTATGAGACCCTAGGCCGAGAGTTGTTTTGTGCCCTTTCTCGGTCGGGCGCTTGCAGAGCCGCAAGACGCCCACCACCACGTCAGCGACACCAAGAAGAAGATACAGCCAAGTCCCTTTGAGGGCCTCGAAGACTCGATCGACGACATTGACGCTGTTCTCCACGCATTCTTGGCCAAGCAGAGATAGTCGCGATACCCCAATGCAGTTGGACCCAGACCAGATAAGGCGACCTTGCGTGACCTATGCTACAACGACGCAGAAGCATGTGCGAGGCTACTACAGCGGACACGGTTCGTAAGAGCGCTGGCTGCCGCACGTCGCGTGTCGAGCAGAATAGGACCGTCGTGTCCGTCGACACGAAAAGAACGTGAAAAGGCGCGCTGTAGCAGGATCGATCTCATGACCTCATCGAGCCCACCTTGGTGGATGACGCTACAGCAATGTCCAATGGCGGCAGTAGCAAGTGGCATCGTTGCATGAAAGCGACCAAGCGGGGTGCTTGGGCCATGGGCCCAACCTGTAGTCGATGCCGAAGCCGGGTGAAGTCGAGAGCCGAAGATATAGGAACCTGGCAGCTTCCTCGTCGCACCAGGCTTTCGCCTGTAGACCATGCTACGTCGGACGGTGCAACGAGCCATCCGTGCGACTGGCAGAGCTTCGAGAAGCCGGCAGCACGGCCAGCGACTTGTGACGTCTGTTGACTCAACAGCGTTGAGTCGACGCTCGCGGTGGTGCAAGTTCAACATTTCAGCCAATCACATCGCGTGGCTGCGAATTCGCCAATCTTGAGCGTATTTTGTATTTTGGCCACGCGCTCCCGACCGCAAGATGCTCTCGTCCCTCGCCCGCGCGTCGCCGCTCCTCCGCCAGTGCGTCCATCATCCTCGCCATACCCAGGCATCTGACCATGGGCTTGTAGAGCTGCCACCGGCTCGGCCCGCCGCTCCATGAGCGCGCTCTGCTTTGAAGACCTCTCGGAAGACCACACGATGCTCCGTGACACGTGCCGCCTCTTTGCGGACAAGGAGCTCGCGCCGAACGCGGGTCTCTGGGACCGCGAGCACTTGTACCCGGGCGACGCCATCAAGGCCATGGGCGAAATGGGCCTCATGGGCATCATCGTGCCCGGCGAGTATGGCGGTGCCGGCATGGACTACCTCGCGTACTCGATCGCGCTCGAGGAGATTAGCCGCGGGTGCGCGTCGGCCGGCGTCATTATGTCGGTCAACAACTCGCTGTATGCGGCGCCGATCGACAAGTACGGCACGCCGGCGCAGAAGGAAGAGCACTTGACGCCGTTCGCGGCCGGTGAGAAGCTCGGCTGCTTTGGTCTCTCGGAGCCCGGGAACGGGTCGGACGCCGGCGCGGCGTCGACGACCGCGCGCAAGACGGACACGGGCTACGTTCTGAACGGCACAAAGATGTGGATCACGAACGCGCACGAGGCCGACAACGCCATCATCTTTGCGACGACCGACAAGACCAAGGCGCACAAGGGCATCTCTGCGTTCATTGTGCCCATGAGCCAGATCCAGCTCGGGAAGAAGGAAGACAAGCTCGGCATCCGCGCGTCGTCGACGGCGCAGCTCATCCTCGAAAACGTTGAAGTGCCGCACAGCGCGCTCCTCGGCAAGGAGGGCGAGGGCTTCAAGATCGCCATGACGACGCTCGACGGCGGCCGCATCGGTATCGCGTCGCAGGCGCTTGGCATCGCGCAGGCGTCGCTCGACTGCGCGATCGCGTACGCGCACCAGCGCCTCGCGTTTGGCACGCCGCTGGCCAAGAACCCGATCATCCAGACCAAGCTCTCCAAGATGGCGACGGAGCTCGACGCTGCGCGCCTTCTCACGTGGCGCGCCGCCATCGCCAAGGACGCGGGCCGCAACTTCACCAAGGAGGCGGCGATGGCCAAGCTCAAGGCGTCGGAAGTCGCGACCGAGAACGCGCACCAGGCGATCCAGATCCTCGGCGGCATGGGCTACGTCACCGACATGCCGGCCGAGCGCCACTACCGCGACGCGCGCATCACGGAGATTTACGAAGGCACGTCCGAGATCCAGCACCTCGTCATTGCCGGCGCGCTCAACAAGGCGTATGCGACGACGCACTAATGACAACATCCACGTATCTAGTAGTCTTTCTACGTGGTACGAGAGTCATCATGAAGCTCGGCAGAGAGACGGCCTTGCAAAAGGGATGAGCAAGCGTCATTGCGTGTCGACGCCGTAGAGTGGAAAGAGTTGTTACTGCGAAATCACATCAACGGTGTGCCACAAACATTGGCATCCAGCAGCTCCGCGCAGCAGCTCTATTCCGTTGCACCTCTCGTAGCACCGCCACACGCCTTGGCCGCCGACTACTCGACGTTCCAGCCTGAAAACCCTCAAGAACCCTGTATTCTGAGTGTCAATATCCTGCACGCCCCACCAAAAACAATATATAAGTAGTCAAAAAGTACCACGATGACAATATTTGACCACGTCAAAGTGTTCTTGGAAGCGGTTGGAATTTCTTACCCCTAACCCGCACTGTTCGTGTCCCGTATCCGGAGTGTACGGTTAAAACGAAAGATACAAACTGCGTGTTTTCAGCACTTGATGGACATCCACGCTCGACATGATACGCTGTGTATACATTTTCGTTGGTATTTTCGTTGCGTGTGTTTAGCTGATTCTCAAATTTGGCGGACTTTCGATGCCACATTCCAATTTGCGCCCAACCGAGCAGCAGCCCAACGACCGCCCCGCCCCGTACGATGACCAAGCCGACGCCTACGACCCACGACGGGCAAGCCGCGAGCGAGCGCAAGGTCGACGTCGGGCAACATGGCGAGCTGTCCTTGTACATGCTCCAGCAGCAACTCGACGACGCGGTTGCGCAAGTGGCCGCCGAGGACGAAGCGCTCCGTGCTGCGGCCAGCGCTCTCCGAGAAGAGCAAGACGCGCACACCGCAACAAAGGCCGCTGTTGCCGAGCAACTTCAAGCCGTCAACAACCAGCTTCAAGTCACTGCCGACGAACGTGATGCCTGCAGCGCGCTTCTTCAAGCCGTCACCGCAGCTCTCCGAGAAAAAACAGAGGCGATAAAAGCCATTGCCGTCAAACTTCAAGGTGCCATCGACCTACACAGCAGCGCTGCTCTTTAAGCCGTCACCGCAGCTTCCTGAGAAAAAGAAAACGCTCGTACGACGCTTAATGGATCGCTGCACCGCCAGACCACCACCGCGTACAAGAGCGGCCGCGTTGTCGCGCCCGATGCGGCTTCCTAGCGTCGATGTGTCTTTTGATTTATTTTGTTAATCGCACTCATGTTGCATCTGTTCCTCTATCTCACGTCTCATGACATCTCAATCCCAAGTACAATGGTGTGGCCACAACCATGGAAGAGTACGCAAGCTCGCAATGGTCGAGTACTCGACCCCGCCTCATGCGAGTTGCAGTCTACCTACCAACTCGATCGGTCGAAAGAGGGTTCAGACCATTGACGCCACCTCGCTCTCCAACCCAATCCAAGTTCATCGCAAGACGAACGCAATGCGCTTCTTCCTTCCTGCTCCCATCGACTTGTGTCCTTCAAGCCACAGACATTGCCGCCGTTCCAAGCTTCGAGTTGCAGTCGATTGCCTGCCGATGATACAATAGCTAAAAAGACATCCCCTCGCTTTAACAACACATTGACCTTTTGACTCCCTCGTTTCAAGGACGTTGTGGCATGCCTATCACACGGAATTGGTGTTCTGGACATGACGATCGGTCTCTCGGTGACGGGCCATGTCGAGGCCGCGGCCAAGACCGTCCGCTTCTACGTCGAGATGCGCGGCCACGGCCTCCACTTTGGCTTCAACGGCCGCTTCTCCCAGCTCCGGGCGCTGCACCTGCGCCTCGGCTCGCTGCTCAAGCACGTCGATGTGACACTGACGCTGCCGCCGTTCCCGCCCAAGCACATCCTCGACAACATGTCGTCGCCCGCCAACGTCGCCCGGCGCGAGGCCGAGCTCTTCGACTACTACACACGCCTCTGCACGATCGACGACGCGGTCGTCATCCTCGCCCAGCAACCCATCAAGGCCCCGACCGAGACCGACGGCGTCGAGTTCACGCCGGTGCAGAAATCGTCGCGCCGTTAAATAAGACGTTATTCTGTGTGTTCGGCCAAGTAGTTGGCGTCGGCGTCCAGCGCCGCGTCGTCGTCGTCTTCAAACTCGTCGTCGTACTGGAGCGGGTTGGGGCTACTGCCGTCGTCGGACGCGTCGTCGGCTGCGATTTCTTGCATGACGGACGCAATCATGGCCGCGTCCTCGGCGTCGTGCGAATTGGGCGTCGCAGCGCTGCTCTCTGCGTCGAACGCTGCGTCGTACAAGTCATTCTCAAGCGCTCGCCCCGTGTCCATCGTTGGCACCGGCGCGTCCTTCGTCGCATATGGCTCGGCCATCGACGCCGTTGGTGCATCACCAGCCGCAGCAGGTGCCTCGTCGCCTTCAAATTCTTCCCCGTCGTCGTACCGAGCAGTGTATGGATCGTCCGATGCCAAGTCGGGTTGTCCAGGGGTCGCTGGCCCTGCCATCTCGATCGTCGCTGTTGTATCTTGGACGTCGAGTGGAAGATCCATGCGAGGTCCAGTGTCGCTGCCGTCTGTCGGTGCTTCTGCATCAACTTCGTTCTCGGTATCTCGCACCGGCAATGGTGCTAGCGCGTCATCCGTCGTGGCTGGCACCAAGGTTGGTCCAGCTTCCGCACTCGACGACGGAATCGATTCGCTCTTTAAAGACACAGTGTCCGTATTGTCATCGCCGTCCTGTCGCACGTCTGACGCCGATGGCTCGAGCACGACGGCGTCGATGTCGGCATCCGAAGTTGACATCCTCTCGGCGCTGGGAAACGGTTCAGTGTTTTTGTCGTCGGCGGTCGCAACCAAGTTTTTCGCAACGAGTACCGCCGGTAGCGTGCTTGGATCGTGCTTGCAGCAGCGTTCGTGTTGACGCGCGCGTGCTGCCGACACCGCACGAGATAACCTCGGGCGTAGCGCTGAGTCGTCGTCGCAGCGGCATTGGTCGATCGAATCGTTGCTTGGCGCTGAACGTGCTTGCGGAAACTGCTTTGAATCTGCGCCGCAGCGTCATGCTCCTTTACAGCAAGGCACGTGCCATCCACGACCGGGCTCGTCGGACAACTCGGTTCTTGCAACGGCATCGCCGTCACCTTGGCGTCCTGTCCGTGTGTCTCGGTGTTCGACATTGGGCGCGACGCTTGGTGCACGAGGTACCGACGGACATGAGCTTGAATGCACGTCGCCGCGTCGTCCGGTGTCTGGTTCGAGGCGACCACATTGTCATTTGTCGACGCTACATCGGTTGATGCTGCGTCTGGAGGACCAACGATTGATGTCTCGCTGCGTGTTGTTGGCTCGGTCGCGACAGGTTCGCTGTCGATCGCGCTGTACGTTTCATCAGCGCTCTCGACGACACTGCTCCGAGTGTCCGTCTCGGTGGCGGCAGTCGGTATCTCCGTGGTATTGTCAGCACCCCGATTGTGGCTGCTAGAATCGGTGGGCAACTCATCCGTCGAATTCCCATCAGCCTTTTTGTGTTTTTTCGTTTGTGACGTCGGAACGACGACTGGATGCGCAGTGCCGCAGCGTCTGAGCCGAGCGTCGGGTCCGGCACCGAGTCAAACGTGTCATCGCTGTAGGCCGTCCCTTCGTTCGACTCGACGGGCGATGCCGTCACGGGGCCTCCAATGTCACTCGCCTCGACGCGCAGAATACTTGCCGAGGCACTTGCTGCCTCTGCCGCGTCTCTTTCCTCGGTTGCAGTGTCGGCGTTGCCTTTCTCGGCCGCGGTGTCAGCGTCTGTTTGTTCGTCGGTGGCGTCTGGCAACACTGGGTGCACCGGCACGGACAGTCGGTGTAAATGCAATGTCTGCGGCGGCGCATCGACGTTCGGGCTCGTCCGTCGACGGGCGCTGAGAACGTCGGGTACGTCAAAGAACTCGAGCGAGTCCTTCCGCTTGAACGAGCCTTCGTTCTTGGAGAGTCGTCGTGCCGAATCGAGTGCGGTTTGCACGTGCTCGAGGGACCCGTGGCTGTCTGTCTCGTCTTTGGGTTGGTGGACGTTTGCCGGTGACGCTGCCGGGTCGCCTCGAGGCGTCGCGTCAAATGTAATCAAAGCTTCAAAATCCGTATCGTCGTCGTCGTCGTCGTCGGGGGCCGCGACGACAGCACAACCCCGGCCACTGAGAACGCGCTCGATGTACCCTTCATTCTCTCCGTCGTGGTCGCCGTCCGGTGCGCTGTCGCCCGTCGGTGCATCGGTGGCCTCAATGTCATCGTCCGACTCGGCGGCGTCGTCCGTGTCTGAAATGAGGTCTTCGTCCATTGTTAACACCGGCGGCTCGACCAGCGCAGGGGGTGCAACACTCACGGGTGGCTGGGCAGCGGGCAGAGGCGGAAGCGGCTCGTCCGAGGCAGTTACCGGATCCATTCGAGGCCTTTGGCTGGCGGCTGCGGTACGGTTGGGTGAGTCCTCTGCTTCGGTAAGCGATGGTTTGGCTGGACTCAACGTCGGCTTGGTGTCCAGTGTCGGCGTTTGAGCCGCAGGATGGCCGACAACTTCGATCGTCTCGGGTGCGACGGTTGCTGCAGACGTAGTATTTGATACCGTCTCGGACAAGAGCATCGGTGGCGCCATCGTAGAGGGTGTGCATTCGATGCCATCACTTGCGTCTCCGTCCAAGAAGACTCTCTCGTTGACCGTCCCGCCCATGAGCGCGTCATCGTCGTCGTCGGTTGTTTTTGGCGGCGTCTTTGGTTGTGTCACGACAGTGGCTGGCGCAACTACCGGTGCCGTTGCTGGCACCGATTGCGGGCGAGGACGGAAGTCAGGTTTTCTTGTACGACAGCGCCACCGGCCATCGTAGCCACGAGCCGGCGCCCCGCACCGGCGCTCGGTGGCCGCTTGGCGGCGAGTTTGCCGTCAATTTCACGGCGAAGCGATTGACTGTTCGAGCGCTCTTTCGAGGGCGACGTCGGCACGTCTGCCACGATGGCTTTGGGCGGCGGCTTTGGTTTCTTGGGCGACCGGCGCTGCGTGCGCTCGGTCGCCAAGCACTCTTTGAGCACGCGGTTCTCGTGCTCGAGGCGCTTCTTCTCGTCGTTGAGGCTCAGCACGACGGTCCGGAGACGCTTGATGGTCTTTTGCGCGGCCGTCTCGGACCGGTCTTCCATCTGCTTGCGGTAGTGGTCGAGCGTTTTGTCTTGGGCTTCCAAGCGCGACGTGGCGAGGTCGAGCTCCATCTCATACTGCGCGAGGCGCTCGTTCAACTCCATCACGTGCGTGTGCTTGACGCTCGAACGGAGTGAGTTGAGTGTGTCTTCGTACGCTGCGATCGTCGTCGTTGCCTGCTGCAGTTTTTCGCGCAGTTTCCCGAGCAAGTGGTGGTGCGTGCGCTCTTTTGCTGCCATCTCGCGCTGCATCTGATGCGGTCCATGCGTCGACCGCAGCGACAAGGCGTCTTCGAGCTTCTTGTCCTTCATTGCAATCACCTACGGCATAGCATACACGGATAGAAAGGCGTTGAAGATGAGAGAAGTCGACCTCTTCAAGACGTCGGTTGCGGGCCGCGACCTTGAGCCGGCGGTCTTGCTCTTGCCGGAGCTCGTACTTGAGCGCAAGGATGGCTTCGTGGAGACCTCCGTCGTCGCGCTTGGCGACTGGCTTGCGTGCGACGCGGCCAACGTCGGCGTAGATTTGACGAACACGGTCGCTCACGTCGTCGGGCGCCCGCTTCCGGCGCAAATCGGCCTTGGTGACGATGTACCCCGACTCGATGTGCTTGTCGTGAAGGCGCGGGTGGGCCGACGTCGGTCGCGGCTCGGGGCCTTTGGTCGGGGACGGGTCCCCCCCGGGGCCAGCGCTGCGCGGTCGGCTACTACAGAGCATTGTTACGTGAGCGATTCTCGTGGTTGAAGCAAGTAAGTGGACGTACTCTCGTGCGCGGGCCGCCGGTGGAACGTACTCCTCCCGGACGTACGCCGTGCGCAGATCGACCTGGCGGCTGCTCATGTCGAAACCCCTCTGCGGTTTCTCGATGGGGTACAATAAAAGGTCGAATTCCCACACATACCGACTGTATAGATGCGGCGAGTATTTGATAGAGTTGGTTACCGTCCTGGCTGGGAGCTGCACGCTAAAGCGTCTAGCGTGGATCTCCTGGCCAAAAAATCCAGGCCATTCATACACTACGCGACCGACAGCGCAGACGAAACGCTGGTTCGTTTAGAAAAGAAAGACTTTTGAGCAACGAGAAAGAGAGATAGGGGACACTGCGTTCCGCGCAGTCAAGGGATTCAACCATTAGTGGGTGTCAATGATGGTCCGCAGGTAGGAGTTTTCAGCTGTTGTTGGCGCACGCTGACCACGCGGCCGTGGAGGGACCTGTTGTTGGCAGCGTAGACCGTGCTGTATTCACACCGTCTTTAAACAATACTAGTAAGGTACACAGTAGATGAGACACAAATTGGTAGATAAAGAGTACTAGAAAGAGGATCTAGAATTTGAAGGAGTTTGTTCGACGAGCAGAGGAAAAGAGGTCCTCCCAGAGGGAGGTCATAAATTGTGAAGTCGCATTGTATGAGACATGCCCACGGCAATCTTTAGTAAAAGGCGAAAGATTGGTGCGGATGAGCGTGACCCTGCGAGATGCTTTCTTTAGTGTGCGCTTCGACCATACCTACGATTTAATCGTGGCCATTTTCATTCTCCAGGTAGATATTTCCCAACCTCCAGCAAATAATACACAAGTCTTTTTATATTCGATGCCAAAGCGCCCGCCATGAAAAACGCCGAGCAAACAACCTAGCAAGTACCAACACATGATCCTACTGCAGGCCGTGCGTAGTACAATAGAAGTATGTACCTCGCCGAAAAAGGCAGACGCGAGTGTTTCGGTCGCGGCCGGGTACGAAGCAAAGAGGCGACCCGACGTCTCGAGCGACTGGTGCGGGTCAAAGGCTTGGAGAGCGCTGTAATAGATCATGGTAATACATGCTGTAGACGGCTGCGAACCCAAGAATCGCGCCCACGAGCTGGCTACCGCAAGAACATTGCCGTTCGCCACGACATCTCGGTGCTGTGAAAAAGGCAATACACAATGGTAAACGCCGGGTTCAAGTGGCCTCGGCTGCGGCCACCGGCGACGTTGATACCGGCGACGTTGATGCCAAACATGACGGCGATGCCACACATCAGCGTGATGTGCGTGTAGTTGCCGAGTGCGCCGGCCGAGATTGTCGACTGGACGACCGAGCCGGCCCCGAATTCGACAAGGTCAAAGGAGGCAAACGCCGCCTCCAGGCACTCGCGGCGGAGCGACGACGAGGTGACAGGCGGCGCATCACCGTCCAGTCGCGCAAACGATCGTGGCGCGTCGAGCCATGAAAGCGCCTTCGGTAGCCCCATTGAAGGACGTGGGCTTTTGGTCGTGGCGTCGAGGGCGGGAATTTGACTAAATTTAGAGATGAAAAATTGTCCGAGTACATTTTGTATCACATAAAACCACAAAACGCAAGTACAATTGACCGTGTTTAAAAGCGGTGTACTGGTTTCAGAACGAAAGCTCACGCAAACGTTTGCACGCGTAAGGCAGCCGACTTGGGCGTCTCCAATACGAAAAGCGGAACAAGCACCACGAGCACAAGGCCAAGGACCAGCGCCATGTAGAGATGCGCGGGCGTCGCGTGGTGCAGCTTGTCGAGTGCGTGGCAGAGCACGGGCCGACTCGAGTTGACGCAAGCGGGCGTCTTCTCGTCTTGGTGCTCCCAGCCATGGGCGGCGAGAAATGAAGCGACGGACGGGTTCGCAGCGTCCAGCGCCGGCATGTATTCCTTGACCAATTTCTATGTATCAACGACAAATGCAATCAACAAACAATGATAATGTAAAAGAGAGACATGGCGTCGTACCCGCGTCCACCACTGCGAGGCGTTCATGGCCGGTGTCAGTACCACGGCCTTGGGTGTCGCGCGGGCCCACGACGTGTTGTAGCGCGTGAAATCATAGTGGTATAATTGCACGCGGACGCGCTATGCATCACGACCTTCAGTACACCAATGCAACTCCTCGATGCACCCTGTCACCTGTGGGGGGGTGTTTCGGAATGGATCCTGTGTCGCGTCGAGCAGTTGCTTGGCCTGCACGGACCCCTGCACCAGCGTTCGTGAAATCGAGTCGCATCGCTTCGAGATGGCGTTTCTACCTGTAGGAATTTGTCGGCAAGGTGCACCAGCCACGGGGCCTGGCTGTAGTTGCCTTTGGCCGCGACGTCCAGCTGCCACGCGAGCCGCGGCAAATGCGGCACCGTGAACGCAGGCGACTTGTACAGCTAGACAACAAAATATCGCTTCCAAGACCACGAGAATCACAAAGATTTGGTGTACGCTGCTTGGGTGGTGCTGGAAGGGGAGCGCGCGCCACGTCGCGCCGTCGTCGTCCGAGCCTTCGAAGACGAGCGTCGGTCGCGCAACGATGGCGAACTCGCGGCCGTGGCGCGCGACCTTGCCAACGCCCGGCGTTCGGTGGAACAAACCGTACGTCGATGCAACGTGGAAGCGCGACGCAAGAATTCCCGTGTTGCGCGCCCAGACAGGCAGCTCGATCGTCGGGTCGACGGACGCCAGCTGCGCGAGCGATGCCACCACGAGGACGGTCCCGATGAGCGTCGTAAAGGTCAAGTGCCCCAGCGCAATCGTGCCTCCGAGACGGCAGCGCAACAGGTCGTGGCCCGCAGCAACCACCGATTGGTACAACTGGCCGGCGACCGCACCGACCAATGAGAGCAGGGCCAGAGCTAGCACGCCACGCAGCACGACACCAAGAATCGTCTGCGTCCGGCCGATCGACCACGCAAACCGGAGCGACGTCGGCGTCGTATCTTCGTACACGACCTCAAACATGGAGTAGCCGGCGGCAAGAACCGCGAGGTACATGGACGCATGCGTCACCGCCCATCGCTGCCACGAGATCGACGACGGTGCCGCGGCGAGGGCTTCACTCAAGATGCCGACCATGACGAGACTGGCGACGAGGTTGAAGATACCGTAGTTGCCCGTCAGCGCAATTCCAGCGTGCAAGACGAGCTGCAGGGAGGCAGCACATGCGCGGTGGCGCGCGATCGGTGATACGAGCAGGAGCGCGACAGGGCCTTCGATCCAGAGCCCCGCAGCAGCCGTCACGCGGTGAGCGATGTGCTATTATATATCACACCAAGTTAGATGAGAGGATGTTGCATTGTTGCGAGATCGTACCGGCAACTGGTGCATGAACCAGCTCGACGGAAGCGGCGTCGCTTGCGTAACGTAGTGAAAGTCGAGCGCCGTGAGCCCGAGCCAGGTGGGGCACGCCGACGTGATCTTGGCCGCACTCGACATGAGTGCGACCTTGACGCCAAGTAGCCGCATGGCGTGAAGAATCGCGGCCGACGGCGCAAAAGTGGTCGCCAAGTCGAACGGCGCCGCGACGAAGAGTGCGAGGAAGCCAACTTCGAGAAGGAGGAGGTCCCACGGCCCCCGGAGAAATGACTGCCCCACGAGAACGAGCGAGAGGTAGCAGCTCCACATGGCAGCAAAGACCTCGGGCAGCGTGAGCACGTTCGTCGCGGCGAGAGCGGCCGCACCACCGCCGAGAAGGCACAGGAACTCCATCATCAGGTCTGGCGAAAGACCGAGCGCGTCGTGAAACCACACAAGGCTCGGGTAGCTCACAAAACGCTGCAGCGGAATACTTGCGTCGGGTGTGGCGTTGGCGAGGCGCGCCAAGTACACGGCGACCGGTTCGACGCCGTCCCTAGAGTAGGTGTCAGAACCACATGCAGATGCATCATCATGGCGACGTACGGGCCGTAGAGGCTCTGGATTTGGACGTAAATGGACGCAAACGAGATGCCGTAGAGGACACCGAGGGTGCGAAGAAAGCGCGGTCGGTTCATTGCCACTTCAACTTGCAAATCCAAAATGGCGGTGGCAGAAAATACTTCGAAAGAAATACTGGCATGGTATCCGATACATATTTCAAGTCAAAATCAAACAAATTGCACCGAAATTCGTATTTCGAACCATAGAACGCCATCGATTTTGCTGCTTGGACGTCGGATCCGATCGTTTCCTTTGAGCCGTAGCACCCGCTGGTTGGACATGTATAGCACACTCGTAGCTTTCGAGCCTCGCAAGGCCCATGCTCCCTTCGCATAGGAGTGAGAGCTAGTAGGGAGTGGGGCCAGATTTGCAAGAGTTAACCGACTAAAACTCGAGCTCGATAAAGTCCACTGCGTGCCCGACATGCCCATGCATCTCATCTCCATGTCGTTCCTCGACGACGACGGTTTTCCCATGTTTTTCCCACCTCGCGCTTCGCGGCAAGATGCTGATCATGACGGATCATCAAACACTGACTGCTTCTACGAAGCTCGGCTCGCTTTGACCGCCCAACTGCAAGGCGCTCCAGCCCGCGCCTAGCGCCATTCAAGCCGGCCGCATCAAGGTCAAATACTGCAAGTCCAGCGACATGCCTGCCGACTGCCTCACCAAGGCACACCCGGCCGAAATGCCCAAGCGCGCTCTCGCTCAAGTCCATGTGTACGATGCCTCCCGCTCCAAGTTCAACCTTGTCAAGGGAGTCGAGCTTGAAATGGGGTGTTAGGATTCTGATCCTATCGCGCATCGGCTACGTCTGGATAGTGTGCAACGACCGTATTTGCACCACTGGATTATCCAGTTTACACAATGAGCCCAATACTGTACACTATACATATTGCTCTTGAAGTCACAAGTCTCTGCCTTGCGCGCCTGTACGGACTCTAGCAGTTCCAACATGTTCATATTGCCCTAAATAATACTGATTTCAATGGTTATTTGACAGATATGGATCCATCTTGCTGCGATCGCACTCGTGATGCGAGCGTTACCTGGCTCGCATTGTCGGAATCTTGCAATGGTAGATGAGAACGACTTGGATTTGTACATAAATAGCTATGGGTCGCCCGACTGCGACTACGACGACGTTGGCATGCGGCGAGGCGTGGGTTTTCGAGCTCCTTTTTTGGATACCGGCAGTGTCGACTTGGCGCTCGTCGTTGTTTTCGCAGGCAACTGCGGTTTGGAGCCTGTACTACTTATGGTGGTCCTTGGCTTGGTCGCATCAACGTGCTTGGTGAGCGTTGGCGCGGTCTTGAGGCGGGCGAGGCGGCTCTCGGCGTCGCGTAGCTGCAGCGTGAGTCGGTTGTTCTCGTCCCGAAGCGATTGCACGTATTTGATGCGCTGTTGGCCGTTAGCGTGACCAGCTAGGCGACTACCTTCGGCAAGTGCGCGCGCGGCAGCGGCTTGGGCTTCGTCTCGCTCCGTCTCGAGGCGATCACGCTCGAGGGCCATGAGCCGGAGCTCGTCGCGCAAGTTCTGCGTGTGGATGTCGAGCTCCACCGCGAGGCGGTCAACGTCGACATCATCGTAAACGGGCCGCTCGTTGCTGCTACAGCTGCGATCGTCGTCCATGTCGTCTGTTTTAGAGGGCGAGAGCTCAGCGTCGACCTCGTCGTGCTCGAGCCGGAGGCGCAGCGCCGCATTCTCCTCCTGCAGCCGCACGTTGTGTCGATGGAGGGCCGACGCGTCATTCTGCAGGCGTGCGTTCTCGTCGTCGCGGCTCGAGAGCTCGTGCTTCAGGCGCTCGACCTCGACAACGAGGTCGGCGATCATCTTGTCGGTCTCACCGGGCCGGAGATCGTCGCCTTTCGCCGGCGACGACTGCGGCTCGAGTGGCGGCGTGGCCTTGGCGAGCGCGTCAAGGAGGCCAGCGACGCGCGTCTGCATTTTGCGCATGTGCAGCCGGAGGCAGAGGACCGAGACGTCCGTGGGCGGAGGTGGTGCCATGCTGGTGCTGCAACCCTCGAATTGCCAACTGCTTGGATATCTGCGACCCATGCGCCAATCCCCGTCCTCCGACTTGAAATAGATGATTTCTTTATCCAAACTGTCTCGATACGAAAAGATTGCTCAGCACTGTCTCCCATGGTTGCGTCCCGCTGCATGGCGGCTCGTTCAAGTGCCTGACGGCCGTCGCTTTTGCAAGCTCTGTGCACTATCGACTATCAACGTGCAAGTTGACTGTCAGTGTCCTCGTCGCCATCAACTTAGCCGCTTCGTGGCAGCGGCCGCCGAGGCGCAGGACTGTTCGAAATTGGAAGCGTGCATGGAGCATTACATCTCACTAGCGCGTCTGTTCCGTCTCGTCGACGCGCCATGAGTCGCACGCGAAGCGTATCCAGTACAAGCGCCTGCGGCATATCTCGGCTCACAGTAATTTCGTTGCATTTCTCGTCTTCTTGCGGCTCCGGATCAGGGGCCATCATCGAGTGGCTGGTCATCATACATCATCAATCGTCCTGCGAGGTGGAATCAACATCAAATGCACCACATTTCTTGAGAGCGGTCCATGATGCGGCCACAACTCGTGAACGTTGAGGTGCGAGTTTCTGAAAATTGGAACGCTTTGGGAAGAAGGTGCGGTTGCGACTGTCGACAGTACGTACCGATCCCACGCCACGCGCACGCGTGCAGCTGGTTGGTGGTCGGTGGTCATCGCCTCGCCGCCTCGGTAGAGTACGTATTATTTGTATTGCATCCTCAATTCGCACCCAACCTTTGCGCCACTCGTCCACCATCGTCGTCCATCGGACACCAGCTGCGTCGCGCTCTGACCTCGAGCCCTCGACCACACTATAATGCGATCTATGGAGCGATCTCGCATCGACGGAGTCCCCAAGGCGCTCCGCAACGTGCAATCCGAAGAATGAGATCTTACGTCGCCAATACCAACGTTATAATAGTTAGTTGGCAGTTTGGACGAACTTGTATGTGGGCCATGACGCGTTCGCAACCGGATACGGATACCGATCTATAAATAGCGCATTTCGGCGCGAAACGCGGAGGCTTTATTTGCAACAGCCACTCCAGCACTTGGTGGCACAGGCGGCATGGATGAGCTCCAGGACGCGATCCAAGACGCGCAGTACATTGGTGCCATGGTCGACCCGCGGCCGCGGCCCACGATCGCCTTTTACACGCCGTCGCCCACCGAGCTCGCGGATTTTATTGCCAAGCAAAACCGCATCAATGCCGAGTGGCTCGGCGTCGAAGCCCTTCTGTCGCAGCCGCTGGGGTTTTACCTCTTTCACCGGTACTGCGAAGCCGAAGCGCACGGCGTCGAGAAGCTTGTGTTTCTCATGGACGTCCACGCCTTTCGCAACATTCCGCAGCACAATCGGCAACTGCAGAAAGCCAAAGCCATCTACAAGCGGTACTGCGACGAAGCCTCGACCGTTCTTTTGCAGCCCGTTGTACTAAAAGAGGTACCACCGTCGCGCCACGACCACGCGTTCTCGGCGCTCTCGTCCGCCGCGTCGCCACGCCCCAGCCGCCACCGGCCGCGCCCAAGGCGCCCGGGGAGGCCAACTTTGCCTGGAAAAAAGAATTTAAGTTCTCGCTTGCCGACGGGACGCAGCTGTACATGAGCTACAAGAACGACGCCCACGTCCTCGGCGTCGCCGGTCCGATTTTGACAGCGATCCGGACGGCGCTTGACCGCGAAGAAGAGAATGCAATGGACTCGGATGCCAAGTCGTCAATGGACGTCACGCTCTTCCACCAGCTGGAAGCGTGCGTCATTGGTGCCCTCGACGTTGTGCACATGGCCGGCTTCCGCGCCAGCAGCTTTTACAACCGGTTGGTGCAATTCCTCTATCTGCAGTCGCGCGAGATTGGCGAAGACGACTTTTCGCTCCTGCGTGTGCTCGGGCGTGGCGGCTTTGGCATGGTCAACGGCACCATCAAGCGCAACACCGGTATCGAACCCATGACCAAAGCAAGTATATGTATATTGTATGTTGTCTAGGCAAACTGTATGCGCTTAAAGCGATGAACAAAAAGATCATCAAGAAGAAACATGCCGAGAAGCTCTGCTTGGCCGAGCGTGCGATTCTAACGATGCTCAGCTCGCCCTTTGTCGTGTGTCTCAAGTACGCCTTCCAAACCAAGGAAGACTTGTACCTCGTGCTGGATCTGCGCACGGGCGGCGACCTCAGCTTCCACCTCAACCGCGGCCGGTGCGCCATTCCCTCCTCGGTTGATTGTCTTCAATCTTATCCGTAGGTTCACCGAGGAGCAAGTCATGTTTTGGGCGGCGCAAATCCTGCTCGGCCTGCAGCACATGCATGAAAACAATATAGTGTACCGCGACCTCAAGCCCGAAAATATTCTGCTCGACGACAAAGGCAACTGCTCCATCTCGGACCTCGGGTTGGCCGTCGAGGTGACACCCAACCTCTGCGGTCGTTGCGGCACGCGAGGCTGTACGACCTACCGACCATGACGATGAAAAATGCTGAGGGTGGTGTTTCTAGACTGGGCCCCCGAGATGCTGCTCCGCGACTCGCAAGGCAATCGCCTCTTTTATGACCAAGCGGTCGACTGGTGGAGCTACGGCTGCGTCGTCTACGAAATGCTCTACGGCAAGTGCCCCTTCCGAACCTCGAAAGCCAAAGCTCTGCACGCCGACAAGGTATATCGTTATACGACAATGTTGTCCATCTTATATTGGAAATGCTAGCAAAAGCCTACGACATGGCAACGCTCGAACTCACACCCACGTACGACCCAAAGTACTTTACGCCGGCCGCCACCGACCTCCTGCAGCGTACGGACGCACTGAACCGATATGGTTGAAAATGGTTATGGATGGATGTAGGGCTCTTAATACGAGACCCACGCCTCCGCCTTGGCGCCAACGGGGCCGACGAGATCAAAAAGATGAAATTTTTCGAGAACGTCGACTGGGCCGCGATGGAGTCCATGTCAGTGCCGCCGCCCTTCGTGCCGGACCGCGACATCAACGCGGCGTCGCAAGCCGACATTGGCTGCTTTGACCCGGCCGTGACACAGGTCCGAGTTGACTTGATACGTTGATAGCTTGACGAATTTGGAGTAGGGTGTCAAGCTCGTTGAGGCCGACCAAGAGTTTTACAAGGACTGGCAGTTTTGCAGCCACATTGCCTTCCAGAACGAAATCGTCGAGTACATGGAGTGGGAAGTCAAACAAGGGCCGATAACGATCCCCCACTCGGCCAACTCGTGCTGTGTTATCTCCTAGTTGTCGTTGTCCGCTAAGTTATTCCAAACACAATAATGTAGACTCGTGTACCTAATGATGCGAATTCGTTGCGCATGGGCTCGAATTGGCGTCAAGAAAGTGGCAGGGCGTTGAGCAAGATACAACGCCTTAGACACTGGTGATTGTGCTCGACTCCACGCGCCTGCGCTATTCTGTGCTGGATGTACGACAGCTCGAGTGTTGCGCCATGTTAACAATATATAGATTGTACGCAAAACACTCATCTCAAGATGTAAAAAGAACAGACAGAGCGCTGCCAGGAGCGAGATATGAGAAAACGTGGAATGCTGTACACTGCCTTAACAACATGTAACTGTTTTTTAGCCAGTCCTCATGGTACATCGGCACTTCGATACCAGGCAAGTGCAGTGATTTTAATGCATATATTTTGTACCACCAGACGGACGAGATGCCCTTGTCTTGCCGAGAGCACGATGTCTTTTCTATATAAACAGCATTAAGGACGAGTACAACAGTGATGAAAGCGTGAAGGTGGACCACGCAAAAGGACCGAATACATACGAGATGTAAGTATATTGACACAAGAAAGAGCAAACAAATCGCATTATGGTGTACCAGCATCGAAGCTACTTGCGGCCATGTAGGATCTTGCGACCAATCTAGCGCCACGCAATTTCGACGAAAGTAACCTCATACAACAAGAAATACCTCGTCCTTGTCGCGGTCGTGAAAAGCATTTTCAAGGTTGAGGTCCGTGGCGGGTACGAGGCCGTCGAGGTGCTGGATGCGCTTCTTGTACACGTTGCTGCCTTCGTCTTTGGTCATGACGGCCTCGCGCAGCTGCAAGTAGCCGTCGTGGCGCACCTAGGCACCCACCGAGATACATGTGCGACGAGCCGTTGATCCAGAGAGCGCACCGGTACGTTGATACTCTCGAGCACGTCGCCTGTCACCGAGTCCTTGACGACGTAGTTGGACGTTCGGTTGCCGTTGAGGCGAACGTTTGTGAGCTGCGGCAGCATGAGCACGCAGTGAGGCACGCTTCCGAGCCGGTTCATATCGAGTCTGAGTTGCTGGAGGCCGATTCAAGTACATCATTTCATGTGGAAAGAACGGGGACAAATGC